CCCAAAACCAACCAAGCCAAAAAACCAAAAAAATCAACCCCACAAACACAGCTACGACAACATTCAGAAAACAGGGGAAAAAAAGATTCGCATGCAGATTTTCACACATTCTCATGCTTTTGTGGGTCAAGCTTTTGTTTTAAATTTTAGTTTAAAAAAAAAAAAACAGGCAATACTATCTGGCTTAAGAACAAGGAGTAAGGATTTAATTGTAGGATTCCATTTTAATGTGGAGGCAAGACAGCATTTAAGACCTGTCATACTACCTAAAAATTAAAAGCTCCTCAAGACTTTTCCAAACCTAACCATCTGCCTGCCTTGCTGATTTTCTCTTCAAACAATGCTTCATTCTAAATCTGCACTCATTTTAGCAATAGTTGTAGTGGGAGATTTTGGCAGCTTTTTTGCCGTAAAAATATTTACCATGCATTAAAAACTGCATAGGTGTACCATTCTTACCAAATCAGCCAGGTGAGGTTACTAAGCCACATAACAATAAAAGCAAATAACTGAAGTGTGAGAATATTTTATTTCTTTTAAAGCAAACAAAATACAGAAGCTCTTACAAATGCCAGAAGTAACAGGTACAATTACAGTCTAATTTCTATATGAAGGATTAATGGTGCAGGTGGTCTCTCTTCTGACCTCTGGCCTTTTAAATGTTAATCCATTGGAAAAGACAACATTACTTTTGTCCAAGGACAAACCACCTCAAGCTGTGACCCTGTCAGACACACAGGACAAGCCTGTTTTCAGTTAGTCAGCATCTGAATAGGGGCTTTCCCAGTGAGATTCAGGATGCCTGGAAAGTGGCTGACAGATCAAAAAAGCATCAGAGTCAGGACTCAGCAAATGGACTATCATGCCAGTAAGATGTGTTTTGTTTAACTGAATTCCAAAAAAAAAAAAAAAAAAAACTAACCATTTGTGAAAATTAAGAACTACATTTCAGAACATGAGTAGCGTGAGGCTCAAGTTCCTGAATAATTGCCAGTGCTTTACCTGTCTAAAAATCTGCCTGACATTTCATTTTCCTACAGTACTTGTAATGTAACATCGTAAAGAGATATTCAGTGTCCATTCTATGTCTAGATGTCTAAACTAACTGACAGGTAAAGGGATTTTGCTTATTGTATGACATATTCCTGAGTGATAGGATAGATGCTTTGCATATTTCTTACAGTAGGATATTCTTACCTTTATAATTTTCTCCAGTTGTAAACTGCTTTGTAAATGCTTTGAAGTACTACGCAGGAGGGAAAAAAAAAAAAAAGTATTCCTTTGAAAACAACTCATTGCATGAGCCAAAAGCTCAGTTTAGAGGCAAAAATGGCTTTCAAGAGTTTTTACTTGTTACAGCTCTAATTACCCATTTTAATCTACCTTTCTGTGGAGAAGATAGGTTTCTTCTAGCCTGTGAGTTCAAAGACCTGCTTCACAATCAGCATAGATGAGGATAGCTCATATATACCCACAGAAACTCTAACCCAACAGTCAAACCAACTTTTAGAGAAAAAAAAACCCTATCATTAAGTAACTTCCTTATAGATTTTTTCTAAAAATATTTCAGGGGCATTTTGAAAAAAGCATACTATTCAACACTGTATATTGATTTATGACTGCAAACATTGACCTGAACTAATGATCACCAAATCAGTACTACCAACTGTGGATATGCCTAGAACACTGTTCACGTATTTCTCAACTCCCTCCAGTGGCTAAAATATGTCATATAATGGAGCTTGACTGCCCTCTCCTACAAAAATAAAATAGAAAATATTCAGTGTCTAATAAAGAGTACATTACAATGTACCCCCACAGCTTTAAAGGGGAAAAAAAACCCCAAAACAAACAAAAAGAAACTCACACCCCCAAACCCACCATTGTTTTCTCTGTCTGGGTAGAACTTCATAGCTTCTACAGTAAAACTTCTGCTGTTTCCTCTCCTATATTATAATAAAGTTTACTGAATTCTGTCCATCCATCACTTTCCTTTAACTCTTACGGATAATAATTGTACAGATCAGCAAAGACAGAGAAGTTTAAAATTGCACTCAGACCTGAAAATGAACAATTCTAGAGTCTTTCGGCAAACGTTAGATCACTTTCAGAAGTCAGTTTAAGTGAATTTTGAAATTAATAAGAAAAATAGTGAAGGATTAATCCAGGCTAAGTTTTTAAATGGAACATATGTTCATGGAATTAGGCGATTTCATGATGCAGTTTCAACTTACGATATTCACTTTCATATATCACAACTAAAAACATTATTAAAATCATGAACATCATGCATCTAAGATGATTATTTATACAAATTATTATTATCCATAAAACATGTTACAACTAGTTATTATGTACATGTAGCAATATACTGCTTTCTGGAATGACATCTTCTTTCAATAAAAAGTTTTCATATTCAGATCTGAAGACTGCATTACTACTCTAGATGACTGCACACCCACTATTCTACTCAGCAAAAAGAACCTGAAATCATCTTTTATCAACTCTGCAGTTTTCTCTTCAAAATCAAAGAAAAAGCCCAATAGCATATGTAACAATAGTTACATGTAATGCTCTGGGTGATCATATTTGTTATGGTTCTAATTACTATAAAGCATGAATCACACACATAACGCAATATATCATGCCACTTACCCTAAAAGTTGGATAATAATGAATACCATATTCTTTACATGTCTCGTAGTTCTCTTCTTCCCCACAATCCAGCACCCCAATTCTGATTGCCGATTCCCAATCTGAAAAGAAAGATACCTTTCCATTTTCAGCAGAAGTAATCATGGATTCTAGCTGACAGGTTAGACTGGTTCCCATGGAAATCAACAACAGAACTTCCTTAGATTCCAATGGTATTAAAAAAAAAAAAAAAAAGAAAAAAAAAGCCTGTTGGTTTGATCCTCATTTGTTATCCATTTCTATCCTCAACAGTAATATGATCTACTGATTTTTAACATAACTAAAATCTCTCATTTTTTCTTAGCTGCATCAGCATTTTCAATAAATCAAAATTAAAAAAAATCCCAACACATAATGCAACATTTTCAGGACTGAAGATATTTTATAGAACCCAAGCAGATGAAATAGGGGCGAATCCAACACTTGCAAGATACAGCATTGTATTCTCTAGCTTCCTGCATAAGCCAAGCTTATTCAGTTAAATTCACTCTATGCTTATTTTACCAGATGAATCCAACAGTTATCCATCCATATGGCTGTCAATTACAAAACTATACATTTCACGCATCTTGAGTCATAGCTGATTTTAATACAGACTTGCTTTTAATGAGCTTGCAGTTTTCTCAGAGGCCTTAAGAATCGCACAGTCCCCAATTATGCAACCCAAGGCTCACATTCTGTCTCTTGAAAGTTGTTTAATTTTTTTGTACAGTTCAAGAATAGATGAGATATATTTTAAAATATTTGAGTTTTAACCGAAGGGCTACACAGTTTACTTGGGGCATCACTGAATGTTTCTTTTTCAAACGTTTCTTAGCAACAACCCCAGAACTTAAGTATTTCTGCTTTTGAAATTTAGCTTGACCTTTATTTGTCTTTGAAGAAGGATGGAGCAGCTGACTGAGAATTTCAGTTGTACTGAACATGCCAACAGCTGAACAGGCAGCAGTAGTAACTACAAGCATTCTAGCAGATGGGCATGTATTCACACGAACACAAAAGATACAACAGTCTATTTTATCAACTAAAATGTAAAATAAAAAAAAGTTTGGCTTTTTGGAATCTATCTCATTCAACTTACACCACTCCTCCTCCCTTTTCCACCTGTCTTGATCCTCCTCCATACAATGAATAGAAGCACTATAAACCTAATGCAAATAGCCTACTCTACAACAATGCAAACCCATTGCTAGCTAAATACTTGCGTTAAAGAGCACCAGCTGGGATATGCGTTGCTTAGCATCCCCTTCTGCTTAAAAAGGAGCTTTTCATTTCTAGAGGATATGACAGTCCTACTTCTTCAGTGCACAGCCTAGACTGTATAGATTTATAGTGGCACTGTAGCCTAATTTTTTTTAAATGCTGCTGACCGTTCCATTTCAAAATAGCATCAGTATTTCTGAAGCGCCTTGTAACACAGCCTAGATTTTAGTGATTGCAGGCTGAAAATAGGGGACAAATAAAAAAAGAATCTATATGGAGTTTCAGCATGCCATTCTTCACATGAAAAAATTTGTTAAATTTGAGCAAATAGTTTAAATATACTGGAGGTTCATAACATATGCAAACTAAGGATAAAGTTTGAGAGAAGCTGTGTTAGAGACTCAAAATAATTTCAATAACTCATACACTACATGAAAGAGGCAGACCAGTGATATTATTTTAACCAATACTACTTCTGCTAAAGAAGTACCAACAAATCACACAAAATGGAAAAACAGAAAATGCAGCAGGCTGGTCAAATCTACCATTTAAAAATGCTACAGAACACCAACATCCTAGGCACAATATATTTCTAGGAAGACATTTTTCTTTGCATAAACCTGGTACATTCCCTCTAACAAGTACATGTAATGCAGTGTATTATTTTCTAACATGAAGCTTTAGTAAGGGAGATAAGAGATACCACAAGGAATCTCCCCGAGTGCTACCTGAATTATCTATTTAATGCATAGGCTGCTTTCTGCATAACAACAAGGTTTCCGTAATTTCCCATCAAATGTGCTTAAAGAACAATTTCTAGAGGAAAATCATTATTATCAGATTCCTAGAGGAAAGGATTATTTGTGTATATAATTCATGGGAGCTTTTGTGTGGGATTTCCAAGGGTTTGTTACTTCTGCACAGAAAACTATTACACACACCTCCAATCCACAAGCATTTTGGTGGATATATTCAACCATATTTTAAAACAGCAGAATCACAATTAACTAGAACAGCAGCCTTGGACACTACTATAATAGACCTAAATGTGTAATTAGGAGTACATTAGAAATGCCTCTAAGCTCAAAGTCTGCTCTGAGAGGAGCATCAAACTGAAAATGTATATTACACAAAAGCAAACACTGCTCCTATTTTTTCAGAAGCATTTTTTTCTGCTTCATGGTTTGCAATGATAATATTGCAAGATTTAACAAAGAAGAAACGGAATAAAAATGAACTATATTAACATAAGCCTTCTATTTGTACAAAGGACTTGCATCAATGTAACTGAAGCCCTAGATCACTGTAGTTAAATTTGCAAATTTGATATAGTTTTCTAATATCGATGAGCCTGCATACTCAAAGCCACTTGAAATATCTTATCACATGAGTAAAATATTTATGAAGAATAAATGTTGAGACAGTCTGAATAAGTAGGTGAAACGTTCTTTTGATAAAGCCACCAATAAAAAGTGTGATTATTCTCAGTTTCCTATTAAAATCCATTCATCCCAATTTTAAAATGTAAACATTTTGCTGACAAATGACACTGCACAAATGAACTGCATTTGCTGGTAGTGCAAGTGTCCGCAAACACAAAATCAACTTTTTAAATGCAAATCTTCATAAAATCTTAATAACTAAGGAGTATATTGTATTACTGTAACCAGTTCAAGGCCAAGTGCATAATATCATTCACAGTTAGCTTGACTGCAGATGAAAGTTTACTTCCCTTAGGACTGGACTGGTTCTAACTGCAGACGAACAAGAATAAGAAAATATAATCTGAAGAAGTCGTTACAGGTTATGAAAAATATTATTTACAAAGGTATTATGCCACTGTAGAAACATGTCCCTTTCTTATTGACAAAACCTCTGTCGAGTTCGGGCTCTTCATGTTCTTCCCTGCTGTATTCAAACACCTCCTTGTTTTCACTTTTCTTCAAAACAAAATAAAAGCAGGGTAGCTAAAATGTAATAGTCTTGTGGCCACAAGTAAATCAAATCAGAAAGTGAAAATGTTACACAAGCTTATGCAAAGAAACTAGAAATAAAGTTTCTGCCACGACAAACAAAAAACATGCAAGTAACGAGTGTTTGAAATGCTTGGAAACCACTACGGTTCTGTGTTTACAGGTTTTTGAGCTTTTGCTCATCAGTCAGCATTCTTTAGCGTGTGACAAATGCATCAGGTCTTATTTTTGGTGAGGCCTGGATTTTGCCTCCATTTCCACATATTTAAAAATACGTGTCCCTAAAACTGCATTTGCATTTTGTAAGTGTTAATTAATGTTAATACTTCTTCCATAGGCAAAGGTATCAGAGCCTTCACTCTCTGTCAGACACACTGAAAAATCTCGCTCGAGTCAACTACTAATTAAGAGTAGCTTAAAAACCATTTTACACCACCATATTAACTATAACATTTCCTGTACAAGTGCAGTCTCAGGTCTTCTGCCCACCACAGTTACTCAGTTTAAGTGAAGAGCCAGTTTGTTTTCTTACACTAGATCTACAGATACAGTAACACACTTCAGTGCCTGAAAAAAGAACTGAGCAGTTAGACACAGCAACCCAAGTCTCCCTCAGTATAAACTTTCTAAGCAACTACTTGCTAAATTTGAAAACCTGAGCACCAGTTAGCTTTGATTTTTCTTGTTCCCTGCCAGGACTTTTTCCCCTTCTATCTAGCGATCCCTTTGAGCACTCATGCAATACTGTATTTGCAAGATATAAACCAAGCACATACACAGCTTCTGCAGAGCCACAACCCTTATTATACTCTGCTTAGCCTTTAAAATAGGCTAGCCTCTTTACAAAACATTTGAAAGATAAAAGAGGTTGCCTCAAAGAGTTTACAGTCTAAACATACCCCCTGTGCCTTAGTGCATCCACTTCCACTCTGCAACAGTTCGGAGACATTTTCATGCAATGCTACGGCTGATCACTGCGTACATTTGCAAGGCAGTGATATTTTATTCCTGGATTCCTCTGAAACCTTTAACTTGGAGTCCCATCGCTATCTTCTGTGCCTTGCTTCATCCCACGTACTACTCTAACAGGGTGGCAAGGGCTTGTGTATCACCAGGGAAGTAAAAAGAGGGGTGATACACATGTGACAAGGCACAGTTCTGCCTCGCGAGCGGCGAGGTACTGCCATACGTGTCGAGGTCACGCCACAAGTTGTGTGATGAGGCGCTGCCATGCATGACCCACGTGTGACGATGCACTGCCACATGTGACGAGGCCACGCTGCAAACTGCATGCAACGAGGCCCCATCACACGTGATGAGGCCATGCCACGACCCGTGCACGACGAGACACTGCCACGTGTGACCCATGTGTGATGAGGCACCGCCATGCACGACGAGGCACCACCACAACCCACACGTGACAAGGCACTGCCATGCGTGACGAGGCCATGCCACAACCTGTGCACGACTCGGAACTGCCACATGTGACCCATGTGTGACAAAGCAATGCCATGACCTGTGCGGGACAAAGCACCGCCACACACGACCCATGTACAACAAGGCACGGGCCACACATGAGGAGGCACCACTGCAACCTGCACATGACGAGGCACTGCCATGCACAATAAAGCCATGCCATGACCCATGTGTGACAAGGCACTACCACACATGATCCATGTGTGACAAGGCACCGCTGCACATGACAAGGCCATGCCATGACCCATGTGTGACAAGGCACCACCACACGTGATCCATGTGCAACAAGGCACCACTGTGCATGACAAGATCATGCCATGACCTGCGTGTGACAAGGCACCACCACACACAACCCATGTGCGACAAGGCACCACTGCACGTGACAAGATCACGCCATGACCTGCGTGGGACGAGGCACCACCACCCACGACCCATGTGTGACGAGGCCATGCCGCACCCCCACAACAAGGTACCACCACACAAGACGAGGCGCCACCACCTCGACGAGGCGCCGCGGCACAGGGCC